GAGGCTTAGGACCATTATGGAGTGAGTTAATTGGGCTTTAACTCCCTTTATAATAAAAGAGTTAGTGGTTATTAACTCCCACTTAAATGGGTGAGTTAGTGATCATTAACTCTCCTTAAATATAGCCTCTGAAAATTATGACAGATGAGGTCCGACTATGCACGAGGTTCGTCAATAATGGCAACGACGAACTTCATCTTCAATGACGAACTTCGTTTTTGGACGAACTTCGTCTTCTGAGGGGTGAGGCACTATTTGACGAGGTTCGTCTGCAGTTGGACTTCGTCTCTTGGATGAGCTTCATCTTCTAGAGGATTTTCGTCTCTAAGCGAACTTCGTCCGACAACGAACTTCGACTCTATTGATAGGCTTCATTGGCTAAGATGAGGTTCATCATGATGACGAGCATCGTCATGCTTGTAGCAAGGTTCAATCTTGTTTAATTCCTTGGCATTTTTTAGTGCCTACACTTACAATGCTAACTCTCTTAACATGGTGTATGTTTATACTTTTTAGTTAGCAATGGGAGGGGAGTGGAGGGGTTTCAAATGAAATTTTCTTAAAATTTCAGTATTGCCCTATATGAGAAAACCAAAAGGAATTTTTTCTTTTTTTTTTATTAAAAGGGCATATACTGGTCAAGTAGCCCTCATTCCCTTCTCATCCCCTATTCTAAACAAACACATATTATAGTGTATCCTCTCATCCCCTCGTCGTCTATCCAAACATAAATAAATTCATTCCACCATTTTTCTTTCCACTCCCTCCCATTGGGTTTGAGTCAATCACTCCCCCTCCCCTCCCCACCTTTGTATCCAAACCGGAACTTTCTCCAACTATTATAATCCTAACTAGAGTTAGAGAAAACACCATGTGAAACCCCCAGTGTGTTTGGATGATTTTCAATGTCGGGTTAATGCTTTAATTCTATTATAGTTAGAGAAATTAACATAATCTCTAACAAAAACAATTTAAAAATTAAGGAACTAATAAACGAACCCTGAGATTTGAGGGACCATATTTAAAATTAAACTGGCATAGAACCAACTGTATAGAATATCAAGGGAAAATTGCTTCTAGCCCCCAAAATAACAACAACTACTCTTCCCCCCACCCAAGACTTTTTCAACACTCCCAAAACCCCCAAAAACAAAGCCACAATTCTCTGAGTCTTCAAAACACAAAACCCAAGAGTTTAAAACATGTAAAGACCATAATACTCTCTCTCTCTCTCTCTCTCTCTCTCTCTCTCTCTCTCTCTCTCTCTCTCTCTCTCTCTCTCTTCTCTCTTCCATGATATCAGTGTGATTGATTTGAAATGGGTTTTTTTTAGGGGGGGGGGTGTTCTGGTTTTCTCTTAAATTTATATTAATTGTGAGCGAAGACGTGGTGATGACAAAGACGGTGGATCGGTTTAAGATGAAGAAGATTAAGATCAACGCGAGTTGCGATGGATTCAGCATCGTCGTTCCGGAAGAAAAAATGCAAGAACTCCGATGACTCTCGGCGTAATTCTCCCCCCCCCCCCCCCCCTATTTAGGTTGTTACTTGAATCTGATGCTATATTTTTTTAAAATGTACATATTGTTGTAATTTTTTTGAAATCGTTGACTTAAAATTAAAGCAGAGTCTATAAATTCACATATTGTTGTTATTTTACGAGCTTGTTGTTAAGGTTATGAATTGGTTGTGAAAGAAGGTTACGAGTTGGTTGTCAGTGTTACACATTTGTTGTGAATGTTACGCGTTGGTTGTGAATGTTATGAGTTTATTAAGAAGGTTACGAGTTGTTTGTGAAGGTTACAAGTTAGTTGTGAACCTTGGTAATAAGTTGATCGTGATTGTTGTTAACTAACATTCACAACCAACTCGTAAACTTCACAACCAACTCTGTGAAGGTTACAAGTTGGTTGTGAATCTCAGCCATGAGTTGATTATGATTGCTGTTAACTAACCTTCACAACCAACTCATAACATTCACAACCAACTCGTTACCGAGGTTCACAACCAACGCGTAATCTTGACAACCAACTCGTAACCTTCAAAACCAACTTGTAACATTCATTCACAACTAACTCATAACCTTAACAACAAACTCATTACAGTAAAATAACAACAATATATAAATTTACAGACTCTGTTTTAATCTCAAGTCATCGATTTCAAAAAAAATATTACAACAATATGTAAAATAATAAAAAATATAACACTCAGATTCAAGTACAAGTTAAAAAAGGGGGAAATTACCCCGGGAGTCGCCGGAGTTCCCGTTTTTTTCTTCGGAACGACGATGCTGGATCTATCGCAACTCATCATCACCGTCTTCAAGATCGCAATTTTCTTTGCCTCATGAACGAACGCCGGAAAAGTTCCATCGTCGATGTCAACGCTGTTGGAAAATTTTAGAGGGAACTAGAATTTTTTCCCCCCAAAACTCATTTCAAATCATCACAGTGACATCATGAAAAGAGAGAGAGAGAGAGAGAGAGAGAGAGAGAGAGAGAGAGTATTATGATATTCACATATTTTAAACTCTTGGGCTTTGTGTTTTGAAGGCTAAGGAGCTGTTTGATTGGTTTCCTAAAAATTAAGAAAAGGAAAAGGGTACAAGGAAATCAATAAAATATTATTTTCATACATTTCCATCCCTAAAACTCACCTCAACATCCAATAAAATATTATTTTCACCCCACAACTCATCTCATATAATCTCCTAAAAATAAACCAAACACAAGAAATGAGTCACATCATCCAAATCATCTCATCTCCATCACATCTCATCTTTAAAAATCACTTACATCATCCAATAATATGGTGACAACTCATCTCATCTTATTAACATTTCATTTCCACTCATTTCCTCCAAAAAAGCTAGGAAATCGATTTCCTTAAGTGTGGGTCACATCATCCAATAATATAATAACAACTCATCTCATCTCATCTATTTCTTATTTTTATAAATGAACCAAACACAAGAAAAAAACATATTATAGGAAATATGTTTCTTATAATTTATTTCCTTATAGGAAATAGGTTTTGAAAGTGTTGAAAAAGTTTTGGGTAGGGGAAGGATAGAAGTAATTTTCCCAAATATCAAAGACCCGGTATCAGCGAAGAGCGACCGAGGAGAAACCCCAAATCAATGGCCGGCAGCTCAGAAGGTGAATTCTACCTCCGTTACTACGTAGGCCACAAGGGCAAGTTCGGCCACGAGTTCTTGGAGTTCGAGTTCAGGCCCGACGGAAAACTCCGGTACGCCAACAACTCCAACTACAAGAACGACACCATGATCCGTAAGGAGGTCTTCCTCTCCCCCTCCGTCCTCCGAGAGTGCCAGCGCATCATCTCCGAAAGCGAGGTGATTCCTCCTCCTCCTCCTCCTCCTCCTCCAATTCTAGGTTTAGGGTTAGGGCTTTGAGTTTTCTTGATTTGGGGGATTCCAGGGGTAGGTTTTGTTTTCCTTTTCCAAGTGCTGACCTGTTCTTTGGGGTTTTTTTTTGTCTGTTTGGTTGCAGATAATGAGGGAGGATGACCGCACCTGGCCAGAGCCAGACAAGGTGGGGAGACAGGAGTTGGAGATTGTGATGGGGAACGAGCACATCTCGTTCACGACCTCGAAAATTGGTTCTCTGGTCGATGTGCAGAGCAGCAAGGATCCCGAGGGACTCCGCATCTTCTATTATCTCGTTCAGGTTTGATATCTCGTTCTGATGCAGAAAGCTGTCGTCTTTTTTATTTTAAAAATTTTTCCCCTCTCTTTTCAAATGTGGTAGATTGGGAATTGCGATGGGAAAATTGGGTTGTTGGACTTCGGAATGTACATGATTGAATGAATGACCGATATATGTGTTTTACCGCGTGAGATGCCCGTATAACTCCATGAACCAGTTTGACAGGCGTAGCAATTGACCGCCTACAAATGATCTTATAGCTTTCAGAGTCCCGCCAGATAACATTTGCTCCCTTTTTTTTTCTTAACTAAGCCAGATTAGTCATTTAGGATCATGCTTGCTCACGAGGAATTGGAATTTCGTGAAATGAGCTTCATCTGCTGGTTTTGAACTGAGAGTGTGTTAATGAATACCCTGATATCGTAAATAACAACTTGCTCCCTCTCATTTTTTGACAGGTATTGTCCATGTTATTTTAAATCCTGCTCATTTCTTTTAAGCTATATCAGCTAGCTCAAATTTAAATGTAGAGTTTATTGCGAGCAGACCCACTCTACTATCGTATCACCCATGGTCGATAGACCCCTCATCGTTCTATTGGTGCTGATAGACCCCTTGTACTGTTTGCCCCAATGCCGATAGACCCCGCTCAAGTTAACTTTGTCGACTCTTTTAGGAGTAAAAAGAAGAAGGGTGTCAAGTGCGGGGTTATCCTCAACAGTCGAACTACACGGGGGTCTGTCCACGTCCTCCAAACTCTTTTGAGTGAGTAAGAAAAAAATAAATGAATAAAAAAAACTTAGCGGGTCTATCCACACAAATAGAACTACATGGGGTCTATCCACAATTGGGAGATAGTATAGAGAAGCTATCCGCAATTAACCCTTAAATCTATTACCTTTACCAATAAGTGATAGTACAGGGAATCTATCCGCAATTAACCCTTAAATCTATTATATTAGTCTATAATACCAGTTAATATTCTTTGTTATACCCTCATATTCATAAAATAGTAGTAACATGAATTTTAATGTGGCAAACATGTCGGTAGTCTTAAGATCTAGAATACCCAGGGTAAGCCTTTCAAATCTGAAAAAGTCTCCTTCCTGTGACAAAGGGAAACTTGGTAAAATGATGAAACAAAAGTGTGACCATGATTAAAATTTGAGGGAAGAACAAGAAGACTTGACAGGTACGCTTGAAGTTGTATTTTCTTTGATGTGTATACCATGATGGTAGTCCATAACTTGCTCAGACGTTTCAAGTTCGATTGCAGTTATATTTTGTTCTGATGTTTAGATCCTGAAAGCACTGGCAATCAAGACATAGGGCAGGAATGAAAATTTTAATACCAAAGCTAGATTGCTTCTAAGTTGATGCAAAATAAGTTGTGTAACAAACCAGGTTCAGCTTGTCTTGCCTTAGATGAAGCCAAAATAAGCTATCTTAAACTCAAGGTCTTCTATTATATCACAAAAAAGGCAAACAGCTTGGCTTAATTAGTTAAATTAGTTATCCTGATCCAGCCCTATAACAAAGGTAAACTGTCAAGATCTTGACTTTTTCGACCATTTTTATTGGTCATCTTTTCATGCTTCACTTGGGTGCTTTAGTATGCATATTTCTGAATTTGTGGCACTTTCATATATTGCAAGACCTCTTGGTACTTCCTCATATTTTCCATACAATCCCATCATGTGCTGTTTCCTTGGAGCCCAAATACATTTGCTTTCAGTTTATGCAAAATTATTTGAGTGCTGCATACCCAAACATTCATAAGTTAACATGAAAGACCATTATACGTTCATACTTATATTCTTCATTTTAACTTTTATGGTTTCTTATACACATGCTTCTTGACAGCTATCTTGTGGGCTTAAATAAGTTACGGATAGGTTTTCACTTTGAAGAAACATTTCAGGTTTCTCTCTAAGCTCTGTGCGAGCTGTTTGGTTGGTTTGCATTTTTGGTCAATAAAAAGTTGATATTTTACTTGCCTTATTAGTGGAATTTGTAATTTGAATCACTTAGGAAGTACCTTCTTTTAATCTATTCAGTTTTCATCAGTTCTGATAATGACATCTACGTATACTTAAAAATGAGGTAAAACAGCGAAAATAATGGGGAGCCTAGTTTTGTATCTGAATAGTAGTTTTCTACTTTGGCCTTAGTTTGAATCCAAGTGTTCTAATGCTAAATGACTGAATCTTGCTGAGAATAACTGAATTGACTGGGCTAAATCTGGAAGGTTAAGCTAAGCACTGTTGCCGTGTATGGTCATCATTAGTAGCAGTAGGAACACCCAAGGGGAATGTATCGTTGACAAGAAAAGGATGTTAAATGAAGAAAAATGAAAGAACAAGTGCAGAGATATTGCATGTAATTAGGCATCCCTTTTAATAATGGTAACTCGGCTTTTCCTTTCAAATCGCAGGTTAAATAAGCTTAAATGTCTGAAATGTTAGATTGGATGTATCAATTTGGTTTCAGTGCACCTAGAGTATTACACAAAAGATTGGTTTTTGCTTATATTGGGAGCCATTTAGATGTCCCCAGGGCAAAAATGTGTAGCTGTGCAAGGAGTTGACTTTGGCGATGGATTGTTACCATTCACTTAAAACTCGGGGTTGGTAGGGAAGACCATTATAGTCGAGAAGGCTCTAAGGAAGATAACTTTGGCTTCCTCTTATCACTTTCTGATGGTTGATCCCAGTGGCCGTACCTATACTTGAGAGAAGTGGAAACTAGATATGGGCTTGCGTTTAAGTTCATGTAGTTGATCGGAAACCTTCAAATTCCTAATGGTGGAAGACTCACTCCTAGGTAGATGCAGAATATGAGGTCCGTATAGTAAATGACATTTATCCCCAACATGCAATTATCTAGTGTCCATGTGGACCCGGTACCTTTGATATAGATGTAGCCTAACACTTTCATCAGTTTTCTAGGAGAAAAAGAAGATTTATGATCACCTTACTTGTTAGCTACGGACCCTTCAATATTTTTGCTTCTGGCTTTAAGCATTACAGATGTTGATGACAACTAATGACCTGGGCTTGGTATGGATGGACATTTCCCATATGAGAGCTTGTTAGTAGATGCTGCAACCCATGTCCAGCTTTTGCTGTTTGTTTAAATCTTGTTAACCAATGTTCATGTCCTCTCTCTGTTCAATTGTCTGATTGTTTTTCCATAGTCAACATTCATTAGTTACCATGTCTTCAGTCAAAGGGCTGTCGTGACACTATTTTGCTGTTAATCAAGAGGGTTTTCGTATGTAAGTTTCTTATTCATTTTCTTTTATGTAAAACTATATTTTTGTGTTGATTAAGATATTCGGGCTAGGTGCTTATAAGTTCCCATCAACATCGGCATGTGATGCTATTTGTTCGCCCTGTTAATCGACATATTTGTCTTATAGTTAGTGCTTATATGTTTGTTTCACCTTCATCATGGTGCAGGATTTGAAATGCTTTGTGTTCTCTCTCATCTCACTCCACTTCAAAATCAAGCCCATCCAGTCATAGATTCATATCTTTTCGTTTCCAGTATTCAGAACTATGATGCGTTCATGTCAGAGAAGTACACTGGGCTTTTGTTTGGGAACATAATTCCTTGAAGTTGTGCAGAACTCCTTCGATCTGTCCATTCATGATATTGTGCATAACTCTCAAGAATGCTTGTATGACCGTCGTATGCTTAGTTGCTGCTTTTGAGTGTTGATTTTGTGGTGGTCTGCTGGTAAGATGGGTTCTCTACTTCCAATATGAGGCTTGCAAATTGCGAAAATAAAGGAGGCTTCGGAAGAGAGTTTATTAAACAGCGTGCGCTGCTAGACTTTTCTTTTAGATTCCCTGATATTTTCATATTAGTTATAAAATGCTTTTATTGGTAGCGTAGACTGAATTTTAGGGTGTTGAAAGATTAGAAGTTTGGAACTGGTGATCAAATAATATTTACAGGTAAGAGATGTATTTGCATCAAGGGCCACTTGTGGACATGGCTGTAGAAACTGCGGCGGAAACTGGAATGTTTGAGGTGAAGGCCTTCATTCAAGTTCTTTCAAACAGAGCATTCAGAAGAAAATTGAGAAGTATGATTTACCGCTATTTCTTTGCTCGTGGTATATTTTGTTGTGAAATGTTATCTAAAGGGGGTTTGGATCCTTTCCTATTAGGTGTTAACAGGAAAATGTCCAATTCCTACATCTGAGTACAAGGGAGAAGTTGAGGCTACATGGGGTTTGACTATTGTCTCTAAAACCAGTCTTAAAAATCACTATTCTTTGAAAGCAACCATCGCATTTAGTGAAATCTTACGAGGCGTCAGCTCGCCTTTCGGATTCTGAATGCGCATTAGGGGAATTGATGCTGTCCGATTATCACCAAATTGGAGATGATCCGAATTTGATGACAATGTGAATTAGATTTGGTTTTGATGGTGGATTTAACTGGAGATGAACCGATCAAATGGTACAAACTTGCAAAGAAGTGCAAGTTTGAACGCTATTCTCTAACAAAGATGTCATATTGGACATTTCACACATTAAGATTCGGTTTTCATGCTAATTGACAAAGGTTTAGATTTTAAATCTCTTAAATCCAATTTCTAGAATACTCAAAACCATGATGACTTGAATTGAAATAAATTCAAAATCATTTATCTTCTTCATCCAAAAGGTATCCGTATTCAAAATAACCAGGGAGATTAATTGAAATTGTATGAAAATTTGTATAATGTTGGTTTCATAAGCATGATAGCATGAAGAGACTTCTTAATAAAAATAGAATAAATTAAAATAATATCATGCATAGATTATTTTCTTATTAGCAGTTATCATCCTTTAATTTGTTGGAAAGAGACTAATTGCAAGTGGATGAAAAGAGGGGGGATAAATTTTAGGTAAGTCTGCTTAAGTTTGGGTGTTTCCTAGATAACAACCTCCTTAACTTTTAATAACTTTTAAAATGTTACAGAACCCCTGTTTGAGTAACGAGAGTTATTGGGGTTCTCAGAAAATCTACTTCAACTTTCAATTTTTTTTTTAAATTTAAAAACTCACTAAAAGCGTGAACCACCATTTTCACTTGCATAAATATTAACCTACATAATTTTATCCATACATGTGAAAATTACAGTTAACTTCATTAGAGGGTTTATATGAAAATTGTTGATTATGGAAAGGGTTTCCTGAGAACCCAAAACTTAAGGGGGTTTTTGTGACATTTTGAAAGTTACGGAGGGTTTGCTGAACTTTAATCGTTGGGAGTTTCAAGTGACAGGATAAGTCCGCCACAGGTGTCCAGACGGGCTGAGAGGTTAACTTGGATTCTATGGTAGGCTAGGTTACTAAAAGGGGAAAAATGATAGGAGAAGTTTGATGGAGAAAGGCTAAATAGCACTCGTCTCTATTGTTTTACCTACTTTTTACTTGTACTAGATGGAATGTTGATACGAGTTGCCGTGCGAGCACCTTTGATCGCGGAATTATCAAAGGTGGTTGAGAAGAGGATGACAGAAATACAAGCACAACGTGCGAGCACCTTTGATCGCGGAATTATCAAAGGTGGTTGAGAAGAGGATGACAGAAATACAAGCACAATTCAATATATGACGAAGGAAAATACATATCAAAGGTGGTTGAGAAGAGGATGACAGAAATACAAGCACAATTCAATATATGACGAAGGAAAATACATTCTTCTAGATTATATAGAACAAAAGATTACAATCTCTCCCTCACAATCTCACTAGAATCGAGAACAATATCTCAATCCTCCCTAAACCCTAATACAAAGATTAGAATCTATCTCTGAATCTATCTGATTCTTTAGAAACCCTAAAACAATCCTTTATATAGGTGTACAAACGTGGATGGCAATTTGGTAAATAACCAGACCCAAAACCAACAGGAATTCGTGTGAACAGAAATCCAAACGAACCAGGAAACCATCGTTGAGTCGACTAATGACTGAGATGAGTCGACTCGTCAGAAACTGGACAAAACTCAAAAACCAGCGATGAGTCGACTCATGACAGTCATGAGTCGACTCAACCTGATGATTCGACTCATGACTGTTGGCCTTCTTGTTTTGATGATGTTTAACAAACAATTTACTTCTAATATTGTTTGTCTAGTGTTTGTGTTTTCGTATTTATTCTAGTCAAACAACACGTTGGAGGATGGATGGAATAGAGCTTCAACGATCATATTCAATGGAGGTTGGCGGAATTGTGGAGTGAAGCCTACGCAATTCAAAGTTAAAGATCAAGTTCAAGCTTCATCCGCAAGTGTACCAAGTCGAGCTTATTGAAGATCAAGATTGGATAACATTTAGTTTAGGTTTTATATTATGTGTGTTAAGTACCTTAAGCTCAATATTATATACACACACGTATTTGGTTTCTATGTATATATATATATAGTTATATATATACATGCATGGTTTTGGGTTTTCATGTTTACAAATATGAAATTACATATTTTATATTTATTATTGTGATTTGGTTTAACTACTTAGATATGAAACAAATAAATTTTCATATACATACTCATATGTTTTATTTTCTATTGTATTATTAAGTCTATATAATCATTATGCAAAGTTTCAAAACATGGTTTAGCCAAAATGTTAAAATTCACATGTTTACATTTTTATGTTTTGACCTATTTTGTAAAATGATGATATTTTTCATTTGGAAAGTCCTTTTTGAAAACCAGTCGTTGTAGCATGTTTATTATCATGTCTACAATCATTCTCCAAAGTTTTATATTTTTTGGAATTTATTTGATATTTTTAAACAGTGTTTTAAAATCAGCAAACAGTTTTTCAAAACCTGTATTTTATGTATCAGTTCACGGTCAACCGCCACGGTCGACCGCGCCTGAGTCTTTTGCATAGTGTGCAGCAGAAACTTTCACGGTCGACCGCCACGGTCGACCGCCACGGTCGACCGTCAGCTGAGAATTTCTCGCGGTCGACCGCCGCGGTCGACCGTCAAACTCTGGAGTTTTCTGTTGATTTTTGTTGCTCGCGGTCGACCGTCGCTCTGTCAGATCAGTTCCAACGACTAGTTTCCAGAGCCGTTGTAGTGTGGTTTTTTGGTCTTTTTCTTGGCTTTCTCTTGGCTTTGGGGTTTGTATAAATACCCCCTTTTACCTTCAGCTCTACATACAACAAGAGAATGTTTTAAAGAATTTTAAAAAGAGTTTAAACTTGTTTTAAGCTTGTTTAAGGGTTTGGTTTATGAAGAAAGTTTTACAAGAGCTTGAGGAGATTATCAATTGTATTTTGGGCATTCAATCCATCTCTCTCTCTTGTCATCTATTAAAGTTTTCCTAAACTCAACTCTAGCTTTTATTTATAATTATTTGTTGATTATCATTTCTATTAAAGCTAGTTTTATATTGAGTTTAGATTTGATTTTATCTCATTGTTACACACACCCACTTGAGCTTATTGTATTTGCATACATAGTATATTAGGGTTGTGAGAGATTGTAACATTGGGTTGTGCTTAATTGAGTTCTCATCTATTGTAGAGAAAAAAATTATATTTGTTACATTGTGAGTGTTGTTAGGTTTTCGGTAAGCTAGAAAACCGAGTGTGTTGTTGTGAAGTTTTTGGTGAACTAGAAAACCGAATGTGAGGAGTGAACGTTGATCGGTGAACATTAAAAACCGACATTGTGAGTGATTGTATACGTTGATCGGTGAGCGTTGAAAACCGACACTGTGAGGTGTAAACGTTATTCAGGTGAGCGTAGAAAACCCGGTTGTGATAGTGGATTTCTCCCCGAGAGTGGGGAGCGGAGGCGTAGGACGGAAGGTCCGAACTCCGTGATCATTTGATTATGTTTGTGCATTGGTGTTTATTTATATTTGTGCTCATTGCTCATATCGCCATTGTCTCATTATTTATATGATCCACTATCTAGCTCATATTGTTTACCCCTTTGTGTTAGTTTCATATCCTTGCATATATCTTGTTGTATATATCCTTGCATATATATTTCATCATATAGGATATATCTCATTGTTTACATTGCTTATCCTAGCTCATATATCTTGTGATATTTCATACTTGCTAGGATAACTTGTTAATTAGTTTTAATTAGAAGAATCGAAGTACCCAGTTTTCAGCCTGTGAGTCGACTCATGACTGTTATGAGTCGACTCACAGGCTAAAAACTGGATACTTTGATTCTTCTGCTCGTCGTCTCGTTCCACGCTTCCTCCTGCATTCCCTTGTACTGTTTAACACCTCTATTCTCATGTTATCATGAGAAGCATCTATCCTCAAGCTCCCATGAGGATTGTTAAGTTTCGAAGAGAAGATACACCCGTATCATGGGTCCTCTTTTTAGGAACTTAAAGTCCGTTCAAGTTAGAACTTTTGCTGAGGAAACTCTCGAGCTCCTCCATCTTTTCTGCACCACCTGGCCTTGCTAGGAATCCGGTCTCGACGTCCGATCGGAAACAACTCATTCATCCCGCGTCTCGTCGTAGTCACCGTTCGCTCTAAGTTGCAATCCTTTGTCGATGGCTTTTCTGGAAGTCTAATGCACAGCGAGACAAACTTCTTGCTTGCATTCACTGGTCTCTTCGCTCGCGTCACCGTCCCCAAGCTTGTCTCCTTCAGAAGAAATGCCGAACGAAATATGAACTTTACACCATCCTTAGTGAAGGTGTACTTCTGAGCCCGCCTCTCGTAGATCGCATATCTATCCCATAAGTACGGATTGCCCAGTATAATCTGACAAACATTCAGTGGAACGACGTCGCACGTGACCTCGTCAATATACGACTCATGGAGCGCAAATCTGACAGTGCATTGATCAACTACACTCAGTTCTCCTCCTTCTGAATCCACTCCAATGGATAGGGCTTCGGATGCTTGACCATCTTCAGACCCATCTTCTGCACTAATGCCTCGGATATCAAATTCTTCTCGTTGTCCGAATCAACAATGACATCAACCAAACTGGTCTTCACTTGCAACTTAAGAACAAATAGTTGCTCTCTCGGGTCGTCGTCCTCTTTCGTGGTCTGCTTCCCCGCCATAAGGTTGAGACTGCTGTTGGGCTCTGTCA